CCTCCTCCTCCTCCTCCTCCTCCTCCTCGTTGTCGTCCTCCATTCTCTTCTTCCTACGGGGAATAGAGATGGGTGTGGTCCCTGTCCAGCCCTCAGCAGCATCAGCAGTATGTCAGAGGCACAGCTGTACCTAGGAGGTGAGGAGCACTGAGCTCCCTCACACTTCTTTCCAACTAGCCAGCAGCGAACCCATGAGAGGTCCATCAGAGGGGTCCCAGGTCCCAGGTAAGATCCTCCAGTAACACATGCTCCCCACTCTCACGGCTGCCAATCCCAGCACCCCAACATCTCAGGTTTCTGAGAACTCCCAATCTACCAGAGACCCATGCCCCCCATGCAAAGGGGGGGAGAGGGGGAGGTGGGGAGGAGGGGGAGAGAAAGAGAGAGAGAGAGAGAGAGAGAGAGAGAGAGGGAGAACCCAGGCATACATAGATAAGCAGCCTGACAAGTGTAAACAGGGCTATCTCTCTCAGGGAATGGACTGGGAGGCCCGATTAGCAGGAGGGAGAGGCGCACGCACGTAGGACTGGATCTGCAGAGCTAAAGCAGGCCAACACCAGCAAATGACAGAAGTCACACTAAAGCATTTCAGTCTAAAATAAAAGAAGAGAGAGCCAAGGAAGGTTGATAAGCAGGAGTGGATGTCGGTCAGGCAGAGGACAGGATTCTAGTAGCTAGGTTCAGAGATCAGGGAGACCTACTGCGGGGATCGGAGGGGCCATTTTGATGAAGGGAGAGGGCACTGGCTTTGGAGAGAAGCCAGGAGTGACAGGCTAAGCCAAAAGGATGTAGCATTTCAGAGCTGACTGGGTCTTTGGGGTCATTTCCATTTTACAGGCAACTGGGCACAACTTGTCAAAGGCCATACAGCAACCCCAGCAGCAGAAGCAGAGCACAAACTCAGGACTCTCTGGTAGCCCAGCCAGGCTGGTTAGGAAGGACACTGAATGCTGCTGGAGCATCGTCCTCTGCCCAGCATCCCGTAAGGGGTGCGTGCCTGCTGATGTGAGCTGACAGCATGGACAGCAGGTGGCAGAGGCAAACAGATGCATTTGGATGGCTGAGCTCCCTGCAGGGTCTCAGGCAGAGAACTCTGGCCGCCTCCTTCCTGCCTCAAGACCAAGGGTCCCTCTCAGTCTTGGGCAGGTTCTAGAAAGGGATGGAGCTACCCCTGGCTTACCCTACCCCATAGTTGGCCAGTACCCCATTAGAAGGAGAGTTCACCACCCTAGAGCATGGCTTCTGTCATCATTGCCCTTCTTCAGGGTCCCAAGAGAAGGTGGCAGGGGTCAGAAAAGAGGAAAGAAAGGACTGAGGGCTCTGGAGCGTGAAGGGGCTGTGTCCTTGAGCATCTAATGACGTATACTGTTAGCCCCTAAATCCATTCCCAGGTATAACCACAGCTGGTAACAGTGGTGATCCAGGCATCGAAGATCTGGACACATGTGAAAACTGCACAGCACATAGCATACACATACAACATGGATTCACACACACACACACACACACACGATACACACAGGCATGCACCCGTGCAGAGATATGCAAGCACACAGATACAGAGAAACTCAATGCTTCAGTTGTGTGGCAGCTAGGCTAAGGTCCCCAAAAGAGTACCCCAACAGCTGTGCGGGCTGATTCCAGCCCTCAGGGAAGGACACAGCAGGGCTCATCTTCTCCAACATGAATCTATCTCCTCTTCAGGAAGAAAGACTGGGAGCCCTGATTGCTGCCTGTCCACCCTCCTGTCTCCCACACTCCTCTTCACTTTCAGGAACCCTCTCCCCAGTCCATAGCCTTGAGTTGGCCTGACTCAGAGAGGCTGAGACATCTACATTCCTACTGGAAGGGCTCTTAGGGACCAAGGCAATGAAAGCCCTCAGGTTACATTAGGGGAAACTGAGTTAGAGAGGGGTGATATGGGTCTAACTCCACAGTAAGATAGGATTGGTCCCTGGATTCCACCTGGGGCTCTTTCCAGCAAGCAAACTGTGGCCAACACAGGCCTGAGGCATTCTACCTGGGGTCCTAGAGGTGTGTTGGATAAGCTCCCTGATCCCACAACCTAGAGACAGAGACAACAGACCCAGGTTAAGAGTCAGTGGACAAGCGAGTCCCAGGAACCCCAGCTTCCCTTTCTAGAGACCATGCATGGTGGGGGGCTGGGGACTTTCCTGACTTCCCACCTCTGTGTCCACTGACAGGACACAGTCCAGAAAAATTAGGGAATTTGTCCACAATCACACAGCTAGTGTCCCAGGCTCAAATGGTACTACCTCCCCATAGCTCTCCTCCTAGATTACAGCAGAAGGGAGCCAGAGTAGACCCCAGGAGGAAATTCTCTGACAGGGGGCTAGATTAGGCCAAGAACCCTTCTTCTCCTCTCAAGCTTCCTGCACAGGGTGGCCAGGCACTGGCAAGCTGGGCATACCTTCAGGCTGCAGTGCACAGCTGACTCGGGTGGGTACACGATGAAGTGACGTAAGGTGAAACCAAAGCCATCCTGGAGACTTTTGTGCAGCAGCAGTGTCCTTGGGCTCTGCCAGGGGAGGGGGCGCCCAGAAGAACACCCATCTCTTGGGCCCAGTGGCAGCTGTAGGAACACAGGGAGACGGTTAAGCATTGTGTGGTCTATGCTTAGGGTTTTGCATCTGCCTCCTGTCACCTGGGAGCCTAGGAGCTAAAAGACACAGCCACTATCCATGTCCCTGAGAGTCGTTGCGCCCCCCCCAACCCCTTAACCATTTCCTTCTCCCACCCTCAGCAACCCAACAACTTCTTCCCACCTGGTTTTCCCTTTATTCCCCTCATGGCACCTTTGCCTCCCTGGAAATTACTTGCTTCGAGCCAGGCATCCATTCAGTCAGCAAACACTTGCTGAACACCTAGTATGCACCAGACACTGCACACACAGCCTTCCTGTCTGGGAAGTTGTATGTGGAACTCTTGCACACGCACATCAACATACATGTACATACACACACATGCACACAAACAGAACACACCATAAACACAAGCACACATACAAATGTGCACACAGGCAGACCCATAGATCCACACGCACATACTATGCAGACATACTGGCATGGGCACAGGTGCACATAACCAGTCTGTAACACACACATGCACACAACAGAGTCACATCTCTGCATAGATTGACACACAGAGGCATCCTCCAGGAGCATGGAACCAAGAGCTATGAGTGAACAGACAGAACATCAGGCCACCAAAGGGACTTGCTGAGGTTGCAGAGTCCAGCCCAGAGCTCTGGCCAGTTCACCAGAAAGGCAGGTGGGGGATACTGCCCTCTCCAACCTGCCAGAATGCTTGGGATTCCCCTAGATAACATAGCAGGGTGTATGAAGACAAGGACTGAGGTGGTCACATGGAGTCATTTCTAGGGCAGGAGGCAAGAAAGGGAAGACAGAAGACTGCCGTGAGTCTCCTCCTTGGTCACGGAGGAAAAAACAGACAGTAAAAGGCATGAGACAGACTGTATGCAAAGCTGACAGACAAGATGAGAGCCAAGGAGACAGGCCGTGGGAAAAGCACAAGACCTCCCACAGGGCCTCAAAGCCCCACACCCATTGGGCAGCTGAGCTAGCACTTGCCTCTAACCCCAAACCCTTAGAAAGCCAAAAGCTTCCTACTAGCTCATTCAACAGGCATCCACCTCTGGCTCTTCCTTGGCTATGGAAGGAACCTGAGAAAGGTTGAGAGGCCCAGGGCTGGTATAGAAAGTGGAAGCTCATGAGATCTGAGGTAAGGAGCTCCCACTGCGTGGAAAAGCTCCCCTTTTGCCCAGTGGAGAAAGCTCAGAAATACCAGATTAGGCAGGGATGCTAAGAGGAGCATCTAAACAGCTATCCACCCCTGCTCGCCCAGTCAATGGAGGGAGAGCCCACAAGGGTACCCAACAGGGAGGCCAGGCTACCATCCAGCAAGCTTAGGGGAAGATCTTTGAATCTCAATAGATAAAAGAAGGCCAGAGAGATGGCTCAGCAGTTAAGAGCACTGGCTACTCTTGCGGAGGACCTAGCTTCAATTCCCAGCACATGGTGGCTTACAACTTTCCATAACTCTAGTTCCAGGGGATCCAATGCCCTCTTCTGGCTTCCATGGGCACTACATGTATGTGGTGCACATACCTATATGCAGGCAAAACACTCATACACATAAAATAAAATCTTTAAATAGATAAACGGAAAATGAGACCTACAATAGACTTGCTACAAATCATCCCAGAGGACACAGCCAGGTGGAGGACACAGAGAGGCTGAATGAGGCAGCAGCAAAGGAGACATTCCAGTCATATATTGTCTAAAAAAACACAGGTGGTAAGACTGCGAACTCTCCATCCCCAGAAGGGTCCAAGTAAGACCTGGATCACTCCTAGCTCCAGGCCTTAGCAGAGATCCAGTGATGGCCTCTCTTAATTCCTCCCACTTGTGGCTACACCCTGGCTTCTTCCATGAGTCCCACATCAATGGGGTCTAGGGAGCCCCAAGAACAGTCACTGGAAATTTCTTGAGTTCTGAAAACCCCGTGATTTCCTATTTCTGCTGTTAGGAAAAAAAGGACGTGGGGGGGCCCCAGTGCCCCTCTGACAGAAACCTCTGCTCCCCACTAGTAGGGGCTGCTCCCCTCCCTGCTCCCACAGGGGCTCAGAACTGAGGCTGTTTGCAGGGCCCATTGTTTTGCTGGTGTCCTGGATTAAGGTTTAAGCCACCAGCTGCCCTAGTGATGAGAAGTGGCTGGGACAGGTCCCCACATGCTCCCCACCCCTCCCCCTGCACATACATCCTGCCTAGAGCTGCCAGCTGCCTGGGGATGCCACTCCCTGAGGGGACCTGCTTGCTATCCAGGGCAGTGGGCACGCTTTCCTCCCATGGTCCCTCCTTACCCAAGCACTACAGGCACCCCCTCTCTTATCTCTGCCTCTCCATTTCCTCTGTTCTTTCCTCTCAGGTCCAGTCTCCCACTCTTTCCAATTAGTCTCCTGAGAATGTCAGTAGTCCCCCTGCCACAGCCACCACACTCCTGTCAGAAGAGGAGATTCCACAGACCCAGTGGAGGCTGGCTGCTCCCCTGTGGGAAGTTCTTTCTCAGACAGCCTCAATCCGTCATGCTACCTTATATGTGGGTCTCTTCTCCTCCCCTCTGACCTGGGTCAGCACTGGGTCTTGCTGTCATCTTGAGGGGGAAGGAGGTGCAAGGTACAGAACCAGGAAGGTCCAGCAGTGAGAACCAGGAAGACTGGGGAGAAGTCTAGGTCAGCTCCCCCAGCTCTGACTCTCTGACACAGGCACAGAAGTAGGGACAGAGAGGGACCCAGAGACCTTGCTGAATCTCCTGGCTGAGAACCACTTGCAAACACTCTCACCTTCATTTCAGAAAACAAAGACATCCAGAAAAAAACAACTGCTGATGGAAGCAGGCAGACCACCCCATACCACACATCAGGCAGAAGTGGACATGCTGTGTGTTGGCAACACATAACACAGGAACACTGCTCCTCCACTCCTCTTCACCCCAGCTAAAGAGATCATTGCCAAGAGCACAGCAGGGCACCTACTAGTACCAGAAACATTGCTCGCCCTGGGATCACTCTGCTTACTGGGGTCATTCTGTCACCTCAGCTTCTTCTGCCCACTAGAAAACCCTTATGTGCCTGTATCCACTTCCCTGTACTGGGAGAGTGGAGTGGCACGCACGGTTAGGGCTGCTGATCCCACACCAACTCTCACTGGGTCCCTGCCCGCCCACTCACTCCAGGATTCTTACATATGCAGCGACTCCTCCAGTAATTAGCTCCCTTCCATCCTCCCACTGCCCGTAAGGCAGGAGGGCTGGGACCCGTGGGAGCCATCACCCAGACTTGGGGTTCCATCCAGCACCCCTGGGAGCCCTGCCACACAAACGCAGCCACCTGACCCCTCCCTCCACCTCCTCACACACTCCGCTCCCCACTCCAAGGGCATCCGCCCGGGAATGTAGAGCCCTCTCAGCTAGAGAGTGGCGACCGGATCGCGCACAGTCCCGCAGATCTCCTACAGCCCGGCAGCCCACCCCCCGGCCCCGAGGCGCTCACCCCGGCCCGGCACAGCGCGGGCGCACGTCGATCACTGTGGCCGAGGTACGGCAGCCACAGGCAGCGCGGCTCCGGGACGCTACAGTCCACACCGACGGCGCGTTCCCAGCGCCAGGCCCCGGCGCCCGCACGCTCCTCGCGCCAGACGGCGCAGCCCACGAGCGCGGCCTGCAGGGACCCCCGGGCACGGCCAGCAGCGCGGCCCCCAAGCG